GGAGGATTCGCTACCGATCTTGGTGAGGGAAACGGACGGAACGACGAGATCTGAGAGACTATCCAAGAACGGTAAGGTTGTTACCGAACCTCTTTTCGACGCTCGAAACTCATTGTGTGACTAAGCAAAAATCAAGAAAATAATATTGGCACGTAGGTTGATAGATGATCTATAACTTTGTTGAAGAAACCACCTCTGTTTGGGTTAAGAATCGAAAGATAGAAAATGGAAAGAAACCTCGGAAAAACTAATCGGAAGCCTTGATTTTCTGGTAGGAGGAGAGAGAAGCCGCCGGCGTACCACGCGTCAACCAACCAGAGGGCCGCGTGCGCCAATCGCCCCCGGACACGCGTCGAGCGCCGCCTGGGAAAACGCGGCTCCAGCGCTCCTGCGACACGCGTCCCTGGCTCCGCGACCCGACCCGCGCTCCTTGGCTGACCCGATACCCGCACGGCGAACCGAATCCAGTTGACGACCCGCGGTCCACCCGAATCACCGCTTCCGACCCGAACCCGCGACCCGCGACTGCAGGAATTTCTGGGCGCGTGACACTCGCGCGTGGAACCCGCGAGTGGCTGCTCCCCAGCGCGTGACTGGCGCGTGGAGGCGCGTGTAAGCTGTTTTTGGCCCGATCGGCTTCTGTTTTCCCTAGTTTCCCCTGATTCATATCCTAACTCCATTTGTTTGTATGAAATAGGACCTTATTGAGGAAAAATCACCCCCTCTCGTTACGCCAAGTGTGTGGAAACGCTGCGTAAGGGCACGTAGCATCCAAGTAAGTCGCCACACGGAATTTAGGAAGTAATACTTGTAGGAACCGCTTGGGATGCATGCATGCTAGTCTGAATATTTTAGGTTGTAGCTTTCCCGTAAATGTTCGTAGGAAATAGTTTATTGAACGTAAGATGTATGCTGTGATTTGTTATGAGAGTTACTTGGATACTGCTTATATGCTCTTAATTCCCACTTTATTTTATGCATATGTATATCTTTTTGCTGAATGGAGAATGGAAAATTTGCGAACTCTGTGCTCCGGGAATTGATGGATGTTATCACCCCGTCGAGCTTGTATGATTACTTTGCATGAAATATGTTTGAGGTTTTTGGATAATAGTTATGTACGTACTCGGTTATTTTTAGGGCCACCTTTATGAATAAGACTAGAAGACAATGGTTAGAGCGACAAACCATCAAGGGATCGACTTAACCTTTCCCTATTAGTTTATCAGACCATCACGGCACATGAAACATCCTTAGAGTACCCTTAAGCTACTTGTGTGTGGATGGTGATATAGCTTCGTGGGGGACCAGCGGGTTCCTGATCAGGACTCGACTGCTCGATAGCCGTTTAGTATGGGAAACGGGATACCCACGTCGTAATTGACCGTTTAGCTGGATGGAATAGGGGAGGTAGCCCTCCCAAATACAGGGGGATTATCATGGGTCTAGGGGGTTGCAGCTCACTTCCTAGGCAAGACCCCAGATAATCTCATACCCATGCCGAGGTAGCCACTCGTAAGGCACCAGTCCAACACAGGTTAGCTTAAAAGGAACTCTATGGGTTTAAATAAAAGGTCTAGGAACCAAAGAGGACCAAAGGGATAAGTTCCAAGAGAGAAAGCCCTAATGAGGTAAGGCCCGATTTCAGTTGTTCTAGAGCCAAAGGAAAGCCCGTGATCGTCTGCTAAGTTTAGGGTGCGGTAAGAGCCTACAAGTAGGTGGCTTACTGAGTATAATTTTTATACTCATTCCCTTTATACTTTTTTTTTCAGGTACGTGAGGCGTCGAGTCAAGAGAGGGCGCGTCGATCGATGTGGGTTGTCACAGAGGAAGCGTGTCCCGGGGCGTCAGTCTAGTTTACTAAATAGTACACTTTGTCTCACATGTTCCTTTCCTTGTTTTTCTTTTACCTAGGCACTTATGTCCTTCTAATAAAGATATGTTTTTCTTTTGAAACAAATGATTTCCTTGAATTTCTCGTTTATGCATTACATGTCATACAATGTTAGTCACGGCTTAATTTGGGGTCGTGACAGTACTTCTGGAGAAAACAAGGTTCTAGGCACTTTGAAGTCGACGGTCGAGCGGTGGATGTATTCTGGGACCTCAAGAGTGCAAAATTCAATGGAGAGACAGAGCCACAGTCGGAATACTACGTGGCCGTTGTCTGTGAAGAAGAAGTTGTTTTACTTATTGGGGATCTCAAGAAAGATGCCTTCAGAAAGACAGGTTGTCGGCCAGCTTTGATTGAACCGACTCTGGTTTCAAAGAAGGAACATGTATTTGGGAAGAAAATGTTCTCCACCAGAATCCAGTTCCATGAGAAAGGCAAGTTCCACACCATCTCAATTGAGTTCATCAACATCAACAATCCCAGTTTTTCTGATTCATTCGATCCAGAACTGGAGATGAGGATCGACGGGCAACCAGCAATCAAAATTAAGCACCTTCACTGGAAGTTCAGAGGCAATGGATCTGTATTAATCAGCAGAACAAGACTAGAAGTTTACTGGGATGTCCATGATTGGCTGTTTGGTTCAGGTTCCAGGTACGGGCTATTCATATTCAGGCCAATGTCATCATGGTCTGAATCTCCATCGTCATCACTTGCATCGACGACATCGCTACCTGCACCATCCTCTTCTTTAACACCAACAGGAATGTCCATTAGAGAAGTGATTTCTAGTTCTGGGGAGGATGAAAATGCAGCGGCAGGAGTGTCATCCAAATTCTGCTTATTTCTGTATGCTTGGAAGATGGAATGAAGAATGGTTAATGGAAATGGAAAGATTTGGTGAAAACAAAACAGGGTTCTGCAACTTCTTACAGATTGAGATTGAGGATTGATGAATTAGATTTAGTTCCCAATTCCCCAGAAAGAATACAAGAGAGAGAGAGAGAGAGAAAAAAAACAATATTTTAGCAGACTGATGAGCTTAAAATGGACCCATGTGGAGAGAGAAAGAAGAGGGATTGAATTATAAAAGGACAGGATTAGACATGCCAGATAGGAAATCATCTTCATGCCCAATCATCATACCTATCTTCACTCCATCATAATCTCACAGTGAGGGGTTTGTTCTGTCTCTCTCTCTCTCTCTCTCTCTGTTTATTTTGTGTTTGCTGTAAGTATAACTATAAGCTTGAATTGAATTGAATTGCAATGTCTACGTCTACCATATGAATATATATAAATATATATATATATATATCTCACCATATTTCATACCATCTTCACACACCTTTACTTTTCTCCTTTTCTATTGTTCTTTCATTTATTTTATGAAGCATGTAATGACAAAACACAAAAGAAAAGGTTGTGGGAAGAAAGATTTAGAGACGGACAATTGTCTGTAATGAGTGCTTAGTTAAATGCCTGGCTGGATGACTCTCACTTCTTTATGAAAAGCTTCTTTAGCTTACCTAATGGCTTTCGTTGACAACACTTCTTCTTTTGTCCAACTGTGTAATTTTTGTTACATCTAATGTCTTGTTAAGACTTGGTTCTTAGTACAATAATAAATAAGAATCTCTTCAGGTAATTTGACTCGACTCCCCACTTTCTGTTCAACAATCATCCATATAACTAAATCTCTTAGATTCACCTATCAGTGAAGCTTACTGGTTGGTTGGACTGCTTGGTGGCATGCTCTTTTCTCAACTATGCCACCATGCCATTCAAATTGGTGCTTGGAAATCATGCCACCAAACTAGCCTCTAATTTTTTCCATCCCATAACTAACATAAATTTTATTTGATTCAATTATGTTCTTATGGTTGTGCTTCATCTACCAAAATAAATAATTTGACACGAAAATTCATACAAAAACAGGGAAAGGAACTGGGGCATGGGTAGTTGACTCGTCTTTTTTATTGCACTCTATCATTCGCCTAGAAAAATATGCTTTGTTATCTCAATTCTAAAATGACTTTTGATTTGATTAGGCAACACTTTCTGCCTAAAAAGAAGATATTTAGTGTTAAACAAAAATAAAAATTTTGAAAATTTGTTCCTACGGATCAGCATGAACAACAGCAGTTTACAACGTCTTTCTTGCAAACAAATCAACTTGGATTGACATGTGGATGGGCAAAATGAACCAAATTAGCTGTATAACACAGAATGACCTGAGTGTTACAAGAGAGGAAAAAGAAAAAACTAGGGAATCCCAACTGTCTGGTTATAATTCGAGTCCTAACCATGATACAGGCTCCTCAATTTCAACAAAAATAAGAAATAGCAATTTTACATAGTTTGAAGAAGGGGTAACAAAAGTTTGGCACCACATCAGTGGTACTCTCTCACTCCAATTTCCAGAGCTCAAAATAAGAGAACCATCGTGAAAGGTGAGACCAATGTATTATTAGCTTCCAATACTCAAAAGGTAGATCATCAAACCAATGGTGTCCACAATGTAGCTTACCATCTATCCCTCGACCTGGAATAACAACACAAATGCCATATTCCAGATTCAGAATAATAACTTGGAACAGAATGGAATAAACAAACAAGAGCAAGATTCAAAATATTCCCCCTTCATTTCCTGCAGCACCCTTGCACCATAAAGAAAAAGTGATATTTCTCCCAGATGAAAAATAACAGCATTAGAACGTTTAAGAACAACCAAGAATCAACAAAGAGAAACAAAATGACAAACAAATCCAAACCTGTTCATGTCTCTGTTGCCCAAAAATCCTCCATCTCTGGCACCTTGTATTGGTTTTCCATCCTCAGCAGATCTACTCCACACATCTGGAGTGCCACGTGATCGAGGCCGTTCCATAGACTCGAAACTTCTGGACTCATCAAAGGATACTTGAGAAGATTGTCTTTCGGGAAAGACAGCAGCCCTACCTGCTCCAGAGCCAGGTCTCTCAGCTGCTTTCTTCCCGAAGCGTACCTTATCATCCAAATCAAGGACCAGCGCCTCCAGTTCACATTCTTTTTTATTTATTCTGTCACGCAGATTTTGTATCTCTACGGCAGATTCTTGCATCGATTCTTTCTTAGCATTCAGAGATAGGCCTTTCTCAAATTCCTTTCTTAGAACATCAATTTCCTCTTTCAACATCTTTTCCTCTTCTGTTTCAGGCCTGTGGTAAAAGAGTAGACAGTTGAGAAAAGATCCATCTTAAAGGCTTGAAAATCAAGCAGTACAGAGCATGATAATAAATATTTGTTTTTAATTTTTTTTTCACCTAATTTAGTTTAAATGATACGTGATAGATTAGTAAAGCTTCACTTCGTCCTACAGGCTTATGAAGAGATGACCATATTAGACTAACTAAGCCACCAAGGGCCACATATGACCCTTATCAACTTTTGTTTAAAAAATAAATACATAAGAGTGCCTAAGATAGAAAGAGAATTCTCTCCAAGATCCCTGGTACAGAAAAGAAAAATAATACACTAGAAGAAGAACCTGCTGATATAATGTCATTTCGCAGTGGTTCAACATTCAGTTCCTGTGTTCGAATTATAAGCATAAAAACATATGTTTCCTAAAATCTAATCATCAACATATAATTGTACATCATAAAAACTACTTTCTCGTGGTTGATTCTTTGCATCCAATTATTTGACAGCAAATGAGATCTACTGATGTGACCACTTTACAGCTTAGCATTTAAAGGTTTTGATTCCTTACAAGTTTTGCTAAAAAGAAGCTAATGATCAAAATGTACACTTTCCCAGCAGTAAGGTTAGAAAACTTTCTCATCATACATGTCATCCATGCCTAAACTATTCTGTTGTTACAAATTGAATTAATCATGGGAGTTGATGAGATCACCTGCATATAAATTAGCAGTGAAGAAGGAAACTTGAGGCTTGTTGCAGCGAAGTATACTAGATGTAAGTTGTAACAGACAAAAGCAAATGTGGTGAGACAATAATAACACAAGATACTTGAGGCCTGTAGCGCATGCCTTTAAAAAAAATATTACTTTCCAATCAGAGAGAGAAAAAAAAAAAAAAAAGGCTGTGCAAATATACTATTTTGGTGACTTTGAATAAAAATCAAGTTTGGCGTTTATCACTAAATTTTTTTGGTGTAGCCTTTTCAAAACCTTAAATTTGTGCTGGGGTTTTCCCAAGAGTTGTTTGGAGGCATTTTACAGCATATACATGAGACTTTCTTTGGACCCTTAGCTAGGATTCTTTTTGGAGGCATTTAATCTTCTACACCAAGCAGATTAACTTTCTTCTTCGGGAACTTAATCACTCATGTTTCAATGCTAATGATAGATTACAAGAAAGGTGTCCTTGGTTCATCCTAAATCCAAATTGGTGCTGTGTAAAGACACATTTTAATCCACTGCCCTTTCTCCTCAAATATTTGAGGTCAATCTGTTTACTGCCTTTGATTGGAGTGTGGTTCTCCCTTATTAAGTCTTTGACTGCATGAATTTACTTCTCTCAGACCATCCATTCAGACAGTCCAAGAAGATTTTGAGGCTTGAGATCAAAATAGCAGAATTTGGTCCATATGGAATGAAAAAAAAATATAAGAATATTCCAAGGAAATGATCAAAGCCAGACAGTTTTCTATTTCATGCTCACTTCATATTGACTTTTGTACCAAGGGTTTGATGCATCAAAATTTATGCCAACTGAGGGTCTTTGGTAATAAAGAAACAAAAGGATCTTTTAGGGGAGAGACTCTTTTCATTATGATCCTCAGGATCAAGCCAGACAGTTTTCTTCTATTTCATGCTCAACTGAGGGTTCTTCTTGTAACCCCTTGGCTGGTTGGGGATATCTTTATGTCCATTCTTGTATGTCCTCTTTCTTTTAATTAATGAACTTGTTTGTGGGCCTGTGTGCATATATCTCTAAATCTTCAAATCGCATTTATTAAAAGAAAATTGGTGTGGCATTACGTAGAATTGTGCTGTAAGCTGTACTCACTTATTTGATGGTTTAGGAATAGAGGACCTCAGGTTTATGTCAAAATTCAAAACCAATATCAAAATTTAGAGGCAAATAGAAAAATTATATTTCTAAGCGAAGTTAAAAAATCGAAGTATTAGGGCCAAAATAAACTGCATATGAGAGCTCGCTCAAGTGGCAAATAGGATTGAAACCAAAATTCTAACTGAATACCTAAACCTCTAAACTAAGCCTAAAAGCGATCATACTAGAAAATCACCTTCTGTCATTTCTGCTGTTGTTGTTTCCTGATGACAATCATTCACTAGGCAACAACTCCAGCAGCAAAGTAAACAAGCTGGATGGAACTGCATGACCATATATGATCACTCAAGTTCCAACTCTAAGATTATATATAGGTGATCTCCTAGCCCTTCATAATTTTGTTCCGTAGGTCCTAACAATACTTTTTAATATAGATTATTAGCATGTTTAGTGGAATAAATGGCTCCACTCAGCTAAGTACTAGGGCAGCTCGCTGTCAGGACCTTTGCAAAGTTTTAAATCAAGTTAAACCCAATCCTCAATAGAACTTCTCCACCTAGCTTCATACAGGAAGAATTTGCTTCCAAGAACCAAATAACAATCAGAAAACAAAGAAATTATCCACTGCACCGAACTACAACGGAGAGAGATAGAGTTTAACAATGTTAAAAGTGAAATTAGGACCTGTCCACAGCACGACGCTCAAGTTGCAGATCTATCTTCCGCCAGTCCTTGCCACGTTCCTCCAGCAAAACCTCCCTAGGCTTGGCATCCCCAAATGGATTGACTTTTGGCCTCGGCTTCACCACATTTTCTACTCCCTGCAATCCTGGACCCTCTGAACGGCTCGATTGAGCACTCGAAGGTCTGCTAGAGTGAGCACTGGTTGGCCTACTGGTTCTTTTGGCCTCAATTTCTGTATCCAGCTTCTTCCAATCCAACCCCTTCTCAGCCAAAACTTCCTCTCTTGGCCTTGCTGCTCCAAAGGGACTTGGCTTGTTCGACCTTGTTGCTTCATTTGTAAGGAGATTAGCTTTGGGTCGATCCAATACTAACCGGGGTCGTTCTGTGTCACTATCACGTGAACTGCCTCTAGTCCAGCGATCATGCTCATTCACCTCACGGTCACGGTAACCAGAACCAAAAGTGGAGGATCTCGATGGAACAGGTTTTTTCGCACTGGCCCAGCTATCGACCTCGTCTGCCCTGGATGAAATTCCACCCATGCCACCGCCTAGCGACCCGTACCTATTCTGTCGCTCTGAAGCCAATGTGGGAGATTTCTTAGTCATTGCCCAATTATCCACCTCGTCAGCCCTTGAAGGTTGGTCGAAATTGGAAGCCCTAGGAGGTGGATCCCTACGATCATCATCGAACCCACCAAACGATCGTCGACCACCACCCCAAGACCCATCGCCTTCATCACGGTCCCGAAATCGACCAGCAGGCATACTGTGCCGATCATAAGTGGGAAATCCCCCACCAAGTCGGCCAGGACGCATTTCTTCACCAGAACGGTCTTTGGGGCCAGTCGGAAGTCGAAGCATCTCCTCCGGCGTCAAGCCCTTGCTGTCTGTTTGCCTACTGCCGGCGCCCGGACCCGTCAAGGTCCCCATAGTGAATTCCGACAGCGTCATCTTCTTCTTCTTGGGCTTGGTGTTGACAGCTTCCTTAAGGCTAGGGAAATTCTTCGATTCTGCTTGGGAGGCGGCCGCAGCAGCTTGCGCCTCTCGTTCCTCAGCCTCAGCACGCTCGGCATCAGCAGCCCAGGCTCCAATTCCGCCCCACGGTTTTGACATTTCTCTCTCGTTGGTTTGGTTTAAGCTGGAGATCCACAAATCGCAAGAATTGAAAATAGAAGGAGAAGAGAGATCTAAACGAAGAATTAGAGTTTGGAGAATGAGCTAGGCTCCGTTAATGGAGCCGGAGCTCCAAGAACATACGATGGAAAATATGAAAGGGAAACACGGCCGTTGTGAGAAGAGGGGGAAGGACTTTGTAGAATCTCTCTTTTTCCCAATCTTTTTTTTTCCGTCTTCTTTTTATGGTCCGGAGGAGGACGGACTGTGAGTGGGAGCCGTCGAGATTATGGGTGTTGTTCCCACGCGCCGAGCACGAGAGTCATAAACGGCGTACTGACAGTAGCCACGTGGACAATTACCCGGCGTTCATTCTCCTGTTGACTTCAACATGTTGGACGGTCAGGATGCTTTGTATCTTCCACTTTATTTATATCGATGGCCACCGTTCCTAATCCTAGTGTGTATCACTCATTTGGAATCTCTGACCATTTTTAATTTCCCGTTTATTTTTGTTCTAAAACTTTATAAGCAACCTTTTGTATTAAGGATTTTTTTTGCAAATAAACTCTTATATTTATTTTATCTTAAATATTAACCTTTTATTTTTACCCCCAACAAAAATAAACTTCAAATATTATTTTGAGTTTCATTGAAATACGTGTTCAATTTAGTCATGTATTTTTATTCAAACTTAAAATTGGTTATATTGTTAATGTGTTTTTAGCTTTTCTGTTTCCAAAAAATACTCTCTATTGGTCATCAAGTATGCTACTGAAATGCAAGTTCAAGTCTAACCAAAAAATAGTCTCTATTGGCGCCAACACCATCAACGATGATGAACAGTGCTACAGATCAAAGGCTTCATTCCTGGATACCAAAGCGTTCGTTCTCATTTGCATACTCATCAACACATTCTGCCATGTATTCACCCTAGATATCGCTTTTCCATGTAATCCAACATTCACAGCCTCCAAATCATCGCTCCTCATCTTCAAAACCTCACATGCCTTCGCGCCCTCCAACATCCAAATCAAACACGAACAGTATCCCTTCGCAATCTCCGAATCGCTGTCAGCTTTGAATCTCATTCGATCAAACTCGTCAATTCTTACATCCAACCATACTTGCGTCGCACATCCTCTCACTCTATTCTCTGGTAGTCGAATCGATTCACCCGAAGGATCAAGAATCGCTGCATACTGCAACAGTCGTTTCACTCGATCAATCGGCTTCAAGAGAGGCTTGAACTCCAAAACAAGTCGATGAAGCTTATCGACCACTAAATCAGACGTATAGACCGGAATTGCAAACGCATCGAGATCGCAATTAGAGCGTCGAAGATGTAACCTATCGGAGGAAGATATGGTGCATCTTAGAGATTTGGATGCAAGAAATCTCTGATTTACTACATAACGAGAGCGCATTTTTTGAAGGTGGAGCTTGGAGGAACCTGAAAACCCAGCGGATCGAAAACTAAATGTAACTATAGGCATCGAAGCCATGTATAGATGGAAAGAAAAGGAAAAGGGAGGAAGAAACTTGAAAAAATTTAGAAAATGAAAGGAGACTCAAAACGTTGGTAACATTATTTGAGCGAGTAAAATGAAGCTCCTGGAATTCCGGCTCTACTCTCCGCTCTTCTCCTCCTTACCAGGTGTATCGCTTCCATTACTCAGCTGCTCGCTGCCTGTAAATGAAACGACCAAACTCCAGGAGTATTTATATTGCAGACCGAGGAGGCTACGGCCTTCCGGGAAGAGAAATTGGGCTGGTGGGCCCCGCTAGATATTAAACCGATCCTGGGCCCATGAAAGTGCATCGAATTGGGAACTGGAAAGCCCAAAAAGTGGTACTTTATTTCTATTAATTATTTTATAATTGCAATTTGCACTCAATAATTGAATTAAGGAAACAATAGGAACGTCAGCACTTACGAGGATGAAACCATTAATCTAGAAGCAAAAGTTCCCTTTTGGAAGGCTCTTTAAATTACATCTTAAACATAAATTATTACAATCTTTGTATTAAATTTTAGGTTGGAACAGGTGTTTATATGTTCGGTGGGGGTGGGGCGGCTGCTTTTGTTTATATTATCTAAAATTAGAAAAAGTGGCCAAAGAGAGTATTAAAAGGAAAATACGTTTTTTTTTTTAAGAGTACTAAACTTATTATTATCGACTGCTTTGGCAATGCAGTTGGATCAGCTGCTACAATTTATGATAAACAGTGCACAACCATGGCTTTCAACTGCTGCACCTATTGACCCTGACTTCACTCCAAACTCTCTTCCACTCCATTCCTCTTTGCATTTGCAGGAACTATGATCCAGTTTCTTGCCAGGAACAACTTCGCCCAGGTCCGAAATCTTTGCTGATATTACTGTCTTCACATCGTTTAGATTGAAGAAAGCAACATATATCTCACCTATATTACACATCCAAATCTTCTTTAACAAATATGTTGACTCAACCATGCTACATCTACGTGAACAAAATCCATTTAGAATCTAACCTCCTCTTCCTGTTGCGATCCAAGAGCGAACTCCAGTCGGACTGGCTTTGGCTGCAGGAATGATGTTCATGAGTGATGCTCATAATGCTAAAACAGTCGAAGATTCGTAGTTTTAAGAATGCGACTACATCTCGGATTCATACCTTGGTTAGTCTTCACAATTGCACAATGCCCAGAATGATGATTTCCCAATGTCCCATTACTGTATAAATCCCACTTCTGCCATAATCAGAGGGAACATTCCAGGAACAAAGTAAGATAACTACAATGCTCACTTATGCATATTAATTCTCTTAAATGGAAACGAAAAAACATCGAACAATTAAGACCCAACAAACCTGGTTCTCATGTCTACTGCAGGGAAAAAATGACCCCCTCATGAACTCTTCAGAACTATGCTTTCTTTTCGAAGTAGCATCCAGGCAAACGTCCACCGTGCTAGTGTGCGATGATAGAAGTTCCACTTGATCGTGGCGAGTAGTTGCCTCTTTATCTCTGCAGCATAACATAGTTTTCTGACAATGCTATACACTCATAAGAAAATCAAAAGTGGTGCATCAAACCAATTACATTGCAACTCGAGATCCTCTTTTATATAGACATAATGGCGTTTGATATTCAAGCTCTGGATTTGCCTTCCAGCATATTTTTTCAACACCTCGATCGAGACGTTCAGTAATCCAACCAACAGCGTTCGAATCCGCACATTTGGTGAGACCCAATATAGGTGAAACTGATGGCTTCAAATATCTGAAATGCCATTTCATAATCTGCTCTCTACATTTTGATACCTTTGTTGTTGCAGCAATTTTAAGAAACTGTGAAGGCAACAAAAATAAGAAGTAAAAATGTCAATATCCAGAAAGTCTCCCAACTTCCAAATTATAAGAACAGAAAAAGCTGAACTTGCCTCCATATTATTTGAGCTAAAGGAGTTAATCTCCAGCAGCGTAGGATTCGTGATGATACTATAGGTCATATCGTCAATATTCCGCAAATCTCCTCCATACATAATTGGAGACTTGGACATACACCATAAAGTCATCTGAAAAATTAAGTTGAATAATATTTCTGTGTCAAATGAAAATTATTGAGATAATATATACTCTCTCCCTCTTTTATTGAATACAAATGTACCTGAGTTCTTTGTTCATTTATATTAAGGTTGGATCTTCTATGTGGGCCATCGTTTGAACCTGAAATAACATTTCATACAAGCTTAAAAATGAAATATTATATGAACTTCTGAAGATATGGTTTGCCCAGCCCCATCTCCTTTGATTCACAGTTTCCCTCCATACAGATCATTTATGTATTTTATATTAAGCATTCATCTCATTCAGAGAGAAATCATGAAGAACACAGGCAATTCCTTGTCTCACCTGGTGAAGAACATATTACCAAAACACTCGAGATTGTTACTCAACCTAATTGTACTCTCATTTTTAGTTTATTCAATCTTATTTCCATCCTACTGCATGGCCCGAATAGAGAGGAGGAGTAACCTTGATCAGTGAGCCACCCTAGTGGAAGCATATCTAAATCAGGCCATGATTTACCCAGCAACCCCGTGGTACCTATCATATTAGCAGTAGAGAAATCCCTGATGAAGAGATGAATCAGACCATGTAAGTGTATGTGTTCAAACGACATAATATGTATTTGAATCTCTTGAATCGAAATACGGCTACATAATTTACCGGGTGACATCAAAGTGGGAAACGATGTCGTTCCAAGTATCCCAATCGTCACCTGTTATTCTATACATGTTAACCAGCCCACTTACAGCCTTGGCCATGGCTGGTGTCACACTTGTTCCAGGAGACAGAGAATAGAGTATTGGGCGGTTAAGTTGTTTAAGAACCTGTGTGTACTCAATGAATTAGCATATGTGTAACAGCCATGTATGTGATAGACAGAGAAAGAGACCATACATCTGAGACAAAGCTTATTTCAGGTAAATCCAAGTCGTCACCGAAGACACAATCATGCTTCACTGCCAGAAACATAGGAAATAAAGGTTATAAAAGATGATCATTTCGGCTTCAGGTAATGTTTCTAAAGAACAGATATATTCAGTTAAAACGTTAATATTGAAGAGTAAAATGGATTGTTCGCAATTTGAAACAATCTATCAAATAGTTAATCACAGTCAACTTACCAAAATCAACGCCCCAATCAGCAAACTGTTGATAAAGCGACCTTAAGAAGGCTTTTCCAGCTCCTGAATTAACGTTTACACTCATGAAACCATTATGCATCCACGCACACGACCTCGACTTGATCCCGATATCACTTGCAAACCACTTTCTCCCTGATTCTACATAGGCACCTCCCTACGAAGCAATGAAGAACACAGTTAACAATTCTTCTGTGTTTTTATCAGCAAAATAAGGGAAGCTGTCCAAGGTACCTTAGAAACGTCCAATATAGGAGTATTGGCATTTACTGCCTGTGTGCTTATTCCTCTCATGACATGAATTCCAAACTTCAAACCCATATCATGAACTTTCTTAGCTACTTCAGTGAATCCCTTTCCACCTTGAGAGGAAGGCCACCGCACCGGGTCAGGCACTATCCTCCCCCATTCATCAATCACATCAAATCCAAGAGAATCAACGTAAGCACCTGGAACCTTTTTCCTATACCAGAGGTAGTCCACAACCACATACTGCATCAATTAAATAAACCAGAGATCATCAATCATGCATGACAACAAAGCTCAAGAAATCCTTACATTACATCATAAACAACCAATGCTACCAACAAATTTGCCAGACAGTTACCCAATTCCTACCTCATAACCCTTGGAATTAAGCCGCTTGGCAACAATCTCTGCATTGTCCAGGAATTCTTTCTCAGAAATAGTCCAGCAGAAGGAGTCATACGAGTTCCAGCCTCTCGGCGGGAGGGCGGCGCGTTCAGGTCCAGTTTGTGAGGACACCCTGAAACAGATTAGAGTAAAATGAAATTCTTCACAATGTTTTTTTTTAAGAAACGAAGTGGGCCTTCGTACAATCAGGCAGTCAGTCAATAACAATCGTAGTTTCTACAGACCGCAGACAATTCTTACGAAATATAGAAACGGAACTCAACCGGATAAGCTACTAGAACTGAAAGTGAGCGAAGAGAGAGATCTACAAACCTATTGAAGAGAAGCCCGAAACAAAAGAAGAGGCAAAAGCAGAGAGAACTGAAGGAGAAGTCTTTCATGACGAGTCTTGGCGGTTCTGAGCTATGAAACTAAGGGTAGACTAGAAAACAGGGAGCTTTGATTGATATTATGAAACCTTCACCAATGGAAAATACTGAATTAGGAAAACGATGAAGACCCTTTTGGATAATATGTGGGATGGGACGGCATTAATTAACGCATTTTCTTGGTGGGTATTATAAATTAGAAGAAAATTAGACTGAATGGCTGACAAGGGTCGGAAGTGTGACCCAACTGGACTACCAAGTTCAGAAATGAAAGATCTAACCGAACCCGTAAAAGCCTCTTCCATAGATCCAAGGAAAGACCGTGGCAGTGGGAAGTCATAATTACACGCTAACATTTACCATTAAGACCAAAGTTGGGAAACAACTTGTTGAAGTTTTGACCTTTAGTGTACTTTTTTTTTGGCTAAACCAAGTTGAGACCACTAAACTCTCCATATATAGAAACCACGTACAAAACTGTTTTCTAGAGTTTTGTTTCACAAAAATTTAGTGTTTTTATACAGTCAGTTGAGAGGAAGAAGCTATGGAACGTTGTAGGCAAACTATTTTTGGTTGTTTATTAATTGTATCTTAAGCCGTCGTTGTTAGGGTGCTTAAGAGTCTTTTCAAGCGTGAATTTAGGCCAACACAACATTCCATTTCCAACTTGGATGAGTAATCGCAAGAACTGTGAAGAACAAAGTTCTAAGCCAAAAGCTAAAAAAGATTATTTAGAAACTGGGAACTGTCCAATTGACTTGAATAAACTCAGACCTTGTGGTAGCTCGCCCAAGCTTTGTTTTGAACATTTTTACATGTTTTAGCAGGAATCAGCATGTCTCTAAAGTGACCCTTGTTTGGAATTGGAATCATCTCAGCTATGAACTTCTATGTTGCAGAGAGGTGATATAATTGAGATGGACTCAAGAAGTTGAAGTTATCATCAGAATGCTGATTTCTGGTGTAGGGTCAGGTTGTGCATCAAGATCATAACTTAATAATATAGGTGGTCGACATGGAAACTCTAAATCATGCTCTCAGTCAATTCCCAGGTTTATGAACCATCAAGCACAACACAGCATAGTAGCTGCTAATTGCTATTTGAAGGAGAGATTGA